TTAAATCCAGAATGTATTGAATTTAATTGTTTTAGAGATAGGAATCAGTTTTGAAGCTTTAAAAGTTTAAAATTTGAATTAGTGAAGAAATTAGTGTGTTAAAGAATTTATCAGTCTTTGAGTGCTACTATGGTTAAACAACATGTTTGACGTATTTCTTGGAAAGTGCTTTTATCCAAGTCATTTCCTGTGAAAAAAATCTTTAAAGCATAAGATAGAGTTTCAGTGGGAAGATTTATTATTTTTCTGACTGCTTTAATCATTTCCTTTTTGCAGTTTTTTCTGCCGCCTAACAATGGATTTTTGTTTAAGAGACTTTTTTTTTTTTTTTTTTTTTTTGGTTTCTTTATTTTTTTCCAAAGACAAAAAGAAACTAAATTTGGAGGAGTATTGAATTTCGTAAATTTCGAATTTTTTGAACTGCAATTTTTTTTCCAGATTGCACTGGAAGGATTACGTGTCCCATTTCCTCCTGGAATATCACGAAATATGGGGCGTTTGATGAACATTTGTTTAAATGAAGATCCTGGTCGACGACCAAATTTCGACCAAATAATACCAATATTAGAAAAAATGGCTCAATCATAATTTGGATTCCTATATATAATTCTAGTCAAAATTGATCTTGGGATTCTCGTCATATAGAGTGGTGCTCCTTTTTCTGAAATAAGAATCAAATCTTAGTGCTTTGTTGTTGTAATTCATCTGGAGCTCTTATTAATGCGAAGAGCTTTTATACTGCCATGAATGATCATTTTTCGTAATTAAAAACTTTAGCATGAGACGATGATCACGATAACAACGTTTACCTAACACTGTTAACTTTTCTCCAGGTGGCATAGTTCACTATTAAGAATGGACCAATCTTTGAATAAAATTTTCCTGTAATTTGATTTTGAAAATTTGCTTATTTATTCTTTACATTCATCCTTTCATCTACCATAATTTCTAACCGTTAGTATACGCTGTGTAGTATTGGAAATTTTCTTTTTTAATATAGCCGTCAATTTTTTATCCGATGTGAATACTGCTTATTCTTTTTTTTTTTTTTTTTTTTTGTTTATTTGTATAGCTGTAAAAGAAATGGAGGTGGAGAAATTTCCGGTTCATTCTTTTAGGAACGGTGAGCTGAATGTGTTTCATAAAAAAGTTTTATGACTAGAAAAACTTGAAAGAAGTGGAATTTCTAGAATTTGGTGATATTACTAAATAAATGCATCTTTTTTCTTGATTTTATTCAGCAATGCTATATCATATTTATTTCATATATTTTGTATTTATTATAAATTATATGGTGCTTCGATTTTTTTTTTCATTTTTGAAATTTGAATTTTTAATGAGTTTTTTATCGAATCACAACTAGTCAGAATTGATTTTAGCATTTTTCTAACAGATGCAAGAATGTGGGAAAGGGAAATAGTGGAGATTTATTTTTGAAAGCTACAGTTAAATTTTTACTTAAAAAATAATTGCAAAGTTTTCCAGGTTGTTTCTCCACTTTTTTCACTCCTTATCTTCTTGACTGTTAAGTGTGTTAAAATGCTTCATTATACTAACTTCGTTTTGAGAAAATGTACTCTATAATTTATCTATTATTTTGTTATTTTTTGTTTAGGATTTGTTCATTTAATAAATTTTTATGTTGCTGCAAGAAATTCTGCACTGCACTAGTAAATATATAGAAGGAAAAAGGATGGAAAAAGTAAGTCTTAAACTAAAATTTTCAATTTAGAAGTCAAGAAAAATGAAAATCATTCAATAATTCTTTCTTTTTTTTTCCCGATAAAAATTTGGTATAGTGACGATGAAATATTAGTAAAAAATGCATATATAAATTTATTGATGAAATTTTTATCAAACCTATTTAAATTAAATGGTGAAAATTTTAGAAATTAGAAATTAACTTTATCTTAATAGTATTATTATATGATGTGGAACAAGTTAAAATGAATTGTAATTTCAAAAGATTCATTCATGCGTATCGTTAGATCAGTCTTAATCTAATGCAATATTATTTGAAAGTTGGTAGGATAATAGGAAGAGTATTAGTTTAGAGGAGAAAAGCTTCTCAAAAATGATAGCTTATTCATTGCTTAGTATTTTGCTCATTTTAAAAGCTTCATTTTTCTTTTTCATTCTTTTCATAATACAAATTGAAGCTATTCTAAAAATATTTGCAAATTTAGAGCATTCATTGCAATAATATTAGTATTTTCTAATTTTGCTTGTATTATTATCAAATAATTATTATTATTATTAAATTAGAATAATAAATACTTTTTTTTTTTTTTGATTTAAAAACAACGATACCTTCTTAGCGACAAAAAAAAAAGAGAGAAAACCAATAACAAATCACTAGGCTGAAAATTTTTCACTGTTTTTTTTTTTTTTTGAACTATTAAAAAATTTTTTTTTCTTATAAATCATAAAATATCTCTGTTTTATTTGCAAATCATAAGTACATTTCTTAGATTTTATAAAAAATTACTCAAATTGTCGTTATAATTTTATCTAATATTTATTATTTTTTATTTCCAACATATTATATTATTAAAAATATTTAAGTATGAAATTTAAAATTTAACAATTATTTAAACAATTCGTTCTTTTTTCTTTTATTTTTGTTTGTTTCTAGTATATAATAATATAAAGTTGGAGAAAAAAATTCATTCATTAAAAATTTTTCATAAAAATATTTCAGTATTTTATGCAAGAAATGTATGTTATACATTTAACAGAAATTAAATTAATATTATTTGGATATGAATTTTGAACAAATATGGAAAGATGCCATTTTTGAAGATTGATTTCTCAACGCATGATTCAAATAGTCATATTCAAAAGCATTTACGTGCTCAGGTATATATATACATTTTGTGAAATTTCAATTTAATTTTTTTTTTTTTTAATTGTATTGGTTAAAAATATTTTGTGATTATTTCTTAATTATTTTTGAAAACAAAAAATATTTCACATTAATGAAATTAGTTGTGAAATAAATTAATGATTTTATAGTAAAATGAAAAATAAAAAGAATGAATGATTAATTTTTTTTATAGAATTGAAAATTATAAATTTACATTAAATTATTTTAAAAATTTTTTAAGTTTTCACGTTACTTCTGGCCAGCACAATTAGTTCTTGCATTACTTTGTTGTCGATTTACTTGCCTCAAACAAAAAAATAGACGGCGTAGTTGGATAGCCGAATGTCATATGATTTTTATCATTTTTTTCTTAATCATCATATTACTGATTACAACTGTACAATTTTGGTATGACGTACGAACGACATCTGCGTAAGTCTTTTTTTTTTTTTCTGTCTATTGATATTATCAGTTATCAGTTATATCATTGTTTGCAATGATTATTACAATTTATCATCTTCTTTTATTACCATTAAATAATATGAATTTGTGGTAAAAAATTTCAGAAATCCACCAGAAATAGCTGTGTCAATTTTACAACTACAAGGAGTCTTGAATTTATGTTTTTTGGTTTATTGGGATATACACTCAGTTGGTGACAAATTGCGACAACGTCTTCAGGCCACATCAACTGGTATCGGTGTCCTAAGGCGAAAATCATTGTTGGACAATATTCATGTAAAAATTTACCTTTTATTTATTGCAAATAATTTATTTATTATCACAATGAAATATAGCAGAAATAACTGCATGAGAATTACTTGTATAATTCAATTGATAGAAATTCGATGGATCATTAGATCTGTTCAGGAGTGATCGGTCATTTTCTTCAAATCTAACATCAAATAATGACCAGTTTAAAGATTCAGTAAGAACTGAATTGATGACATTCAAGAATTAACTTTCGATGTTTTAATTAATTTATTACTCTTTGTAAATTTATTTGCAAATAATAAAGTGAAGTAATCTGTAAACAAGTAGACAAAACGAAGTAAACAATAACAAATAAATATGAGCGAAAAGGAAGTGTAAACAAAAAGTAAACAAAAATCATCGACAATTCCTAGTATAAACAATGCAACAATCTCATTACTTCAGCTTGGTGCAATCATATCTGGAACTATTATTGGTGTATTTATGATAATTTATCAAATTTTACAAATAATTGCCAATAATTATTCACCAATTGTAAAAATTCCATTAAATATTAATTTGTCGCATTATTTTCATTGGCTTTTTGTTGGTATTTTTATTTACGTTGCACTCTCCTATCCTGCTATTTACACTGAAGTATATAGTTTAATTAGTATTATTTGTGCTGAATATCGTGCATTAAATGATGATTTTGCAAATGATTGCAATACCTACCAATTACCTGTAATTAGGCATTATGTCGCCGCTCATTGGACAATGTCACAATCACATGCACTATTTGGTCGATCACTTAGGTAGGTGTGAAATAATATTTTTATTGGTAAGTATTCAAATTTTAATCAAACAAATGAATTTATTTATTTTTTTTTTTTTGAAATAAGTAATAAAACATTTAGTTATGACTACATACCACATATAAGTTAATTTATTAAGTATTCAACCAGTGATTTTTTTTAATTATTTACTTTTCACCAATGAAATGTGTTATTTATATAAATTAAATGTTTTAATAATTCTTGTAATAAAAAACTATCATAAAAAATCTTTTTTTTTTCTTTCGTGATTTTTTTTTTTAATTTTTTTTTATGATAAACTATCATTTAACAACAAATTTTACAAATAAACTTTTGAAAAATGCATTATATTATTCAAATGAAATATTATTTATTTATTATTTTTTGTAATAAATTTATTTTGAATCATTTCAAATGATATTTCTAGCTTATGGATGAGCTTTCATCTGTCAACTTCAACACTCTCTTGCATATTTCTTCTACGATCCGTACCAATTCTCATCGATCAATTATTAGCATTGGAACCAGTTATTGTTGCAGTAATAGTTTGTACCGTATTTCTTATTGTAATTGTTATCTCACAGATTATCTCTTCTCTAGTAACATCCTTATTACTTTATCATGATATGACACATTTTCGTTATCTGCTAATTGTTCTCATTGCTGGCACTAACGCTCTTCAAGAACAGGTAATTAAAATTTTCAAAAATTATATTTAAATTTTATTTTCTTCCACCATTTCTCATAGTCAAAGCCTATTTATTTATTTATTTATTTATCTGTTCGTTTATGTAATTACCTTTCAAATAAATTACCGATGTTTCCATAAAATTAGAAAATATCTGAGATGAATATTTTATTCAAATAAATAATAAATAATAGAATTTATTCTATTTTCAGACATACTCTGTAGCAATAGCATATATTAATCATTTATATCGAAGTCGTTTAGGTATATCATTCTTCGAGATTACTGTTATTGATAGGAGATTTATTGAAAAGGTATGAATGGATTAAATTTCAATTTGGATTTTTTTATTTCTGAAAAGATAAGAAAGTATTTTGGTAATAAATAGGATAAAGTAATTCTTATAAGATGCATAGACTTTTTTTTCTTAACTTTCATCTTATCAAATAAAATGTTTGATATCATAAGTAATAGCAAATAATATAAACTTATTGTTTCAGACTGCAACTATTGTGCTTCTTCTCACCGCTATATATTATTTCAATAATTATGATAAACATCCAATTCAGAGTTGTAGTAAGACAATCTCTGCGGTACAAGATGCAAATTAAATTTGTAAATTTTATGAAATCAAAGTATGACAAGTCTAGGTGAGGAAAGTTAGTCATAGTGGAGATATTTAAAGTTGCAGAAATTTTCATCAAGTGATAATTTTTATTCATATTTGATTGATTTTATTTGTTTATTTAATTTGAATAATAAACAATAAATATTGGCTGTCTTAATAAGAAAAATAAAGCATTAAATGATAGTTATTGATTAAATTGCAAATTTGAATTGATATTGAATAAAATTCATTAAAATGTCAACAAAAAAAAAAAAAATTAAATAATTAAGCAGTAGAATTTTACTTATTTGTCTTTAACCTTTTATAATTTTCAATAACTGTAATATAACTTACTTTTTACATTTATTTATCATTCTCTGACTAATTATACAAGAAAAACAACTGAAATATTGATGCATTTTATGATAAATTAATTTAATTACTTTTGAATAATTTATAATAATTTGTGTTTTTAAATTGTTAGTTTATATATTTTCCAGCAATGTTAGCAGTGTTAGTGTTTTTCTTTTTTTCTTTTTCTATTTTATAACAATTGCTTTTAACTAATTTTATTGTGTTGCATTTGATATTATATAACAAACAATGAAATTTGCTTTTGCTAACTAATTTTTATAGTTTAACTTTTTTTTTTCGAACATATATAATCCAATTTAATTTAATTCTTTTTTTCCAGCTATTGACATGATAGAAAGAACAAAAATTTTTGTAGAAATAACAAAAGAGCTATAAATAACAACAAAGAAAAATCAATATAATATATCCAACGAAGGATTTATATTAAAAGAAAACAGATTTATTTGTTACACAAAGAACTTTTATCATTCATTTTCAACATTAATCGTTTCAATTTGAAAAAAGTGTATATGTGTGTGTAACAATGTATACGAAATTTGAAAACTCGAAGCAATAGCTAAAATGATTGTTAAATTTAATTTTACTTTAAATTTGTCATTTATCATAAATGTAAGGTAAATACCTTACAAACAAACAGGTATGTCAACTGGTTGCGATGATACAATATCATTGATTCCTGCTATACATTCTGTGTTTCATTTCTTGTATACCACATGATAATTAATATTGACAAGAAGAAAAAAGAAAAAAAGTAAATTAAAATTCAGAATTCAATTTAATCTTTATTTGATATCTATTATTTTAGATGTTTTAAAGATTAAATTTTATCTTTTATTTGATATTTTACAACTTTATCAGTTTAACATAACTTTTACACCTTGAAGTAATCTTTTTTAATAAAGCAAAAAAAGAGAGGAATAGCTATCGAATAACATTACAAATGTTATAATAAAATAAGAAAATGTTGATCGTATGAAGTTTCTTCGGGAAAATTTTACCCAACCGGGAAGAGATATTAGGAAGATAAAGTATTCACTACATTAAATGCTAGTATTCACTACATAGTATTCACTACATTATCTTACATTTCTTTCACTACATCATGCACAATATATAGTTTTCATCTCTTTCTCTGCTCGTGCTATTTTGCACATTACCCCATCGTCTCTTTCATTTTATTCTCATTTGTATCCGAAGTATACTAGCATTTCTCAGCTACAGATGTTTGACTTTCTCTTCTAGTGCTCTGGGGGAGTGAGTTAGAGTAGGTTATATGGCTAAAGCCAAGTCTAGTCATAAGGTAAGTTTGGCTATTGTAAAGAAATAAGCTAGGTTTATTTCAGGTAGTAAATTTTAAGTGCGCTTTAAAGTAGTCCAAATGTCGGGTCGAGGCAAAGGAGGTAAAGCTAAATCATCAGCCAAAGCTAAGACACGCTCTAGCAGGGCTGGTCTACAATTTCCCGTTGGTCGAATACATCGGCTTCTTCGCAAGGTTTATTACATTTCTTCTTGTTCCATTTAAAGTGTTCACAAAATGCTAGCAAGTCTGGTAGTGTTGACCGATAGCTGAATACAATTAGAGTTGAGACTAACCTTCCTTACCTGTCCGTAACTTTTTTCTCTCTTTCTCTTTGCATATATTTAGCTGCTCTGTTGACTTCTAATAAGTTTAGTTCAGGGAAAATATTCCAACTTTCCTCATTTTTTTGGATTTTTCTTAGTGAGAGATTTATTTAGGGAAACTATGCTGAACGTGTTGGCGCTGGTGCTCCAGTGTATCTAGCAGCGGTATTGGAGTATCTTGCCGCAGAAGTGCTCGAATTAGCGGGTAATGCTGCTCGTGATAATAAAAAGAGCCGCATCAATCCTCGTCATCTACAGTTAGCCGTACGTAATGACGAAGAACTAAACAAACTTCTTTCTGGAGTCACTATCGCTCAAGGTATCGCGACGTTTTACCCGAATGAACAAAATTAGCACGCTTAATGCTTACAGTAGTATTATGTATGCAGTATGATTTTACCTGAAAAATCTTTGAAAACTTTCGTTTCTTCGAAGACTTTCGTCTGTGATAAGTTTTGTTACCTTCATGCAACTTCAGGTGGTGTGCTGCCGAATATTCATGCTGTTCTGCTGCCAAAGAAGATTGCGGGTGATAAAGAATGAAAATATAAGTTCGGTGGAAAATTGATGAGTTTATTGATTTCCTTTTTTAACAGTGTTTTATTAAGAAGTCTTTTTGATATCCCTGTGCGATCTATTTTACGCAAATTGCTAAGTCAGTAACTCCGCAACATTTCGATTTTTCCTTTCCAGCTAATATTTAATTATGAAATTCCATGTCTGTTCAGCGTATCTGTACATTAATCTGTGGTTCTTCTAATAAAACCATTCTTTGGATATTTTGGTCTTGTTCTTCACTTTTTTTGCGGATATTAAAACCATAATATGGCTATCCCGTGCATAAAATTTTTCAGAGTATCTATTCAACAAGTAACTGGTTTTCTTTATGAATGTGAAGCACAAGTAAGAAAATGTGCTAGTTTGGAAGCAGTTTTAAGGGGACTTTGTTTGTTTGTTGGTTTTGAATACCTCCCGGTTATTAGTGTTCTATTTTCGAAGTACCTAGAAGATTTCGGGAAAATTGGTTTATAGTTTTAAGGTCCCGTAGAGAAGAGTTGATGTTCGTCGCGGCATTTCTGTTGCATGACACATGGCTCGTATTGCAACAATTCGAAATCAAATAGGAGAAATAAGCAGTGACGAAGCATTGCAAAATGATTTAAAGATTGTAAGTTAACTCAAATTTTATTTATTAAAAGTTACCGTCCTATCCAATGTTTTGGAGTACCTTTGCTGTGGAACATTTTCTGGATTATTTTTGCTTGTCTATAACTATTTTCTTAAGTTGCCGTCGAATTATAATTTCGAGATTCCAAAAACGATTTGGAAAATTCGAACTACAAAGAGCAAAAATGGTAATTTTCCTACATATTTTCAAAGTTTATTCTTTGCATTTGAAAAATAAAGCCATTTATTGAAGTAACCTGGCTTTGCTATTGAAGTGAAAATTGAAAAGAAGTTGCTATGAACGGTTTAATTTCTCAATGACACAGATTTTGAAATGCCCATTTTTTGAACATATATAACTTGTGGGTCGAAATTCGATTCATGTAAATAAGACTTTTGAATTGTGAAGATTACTGAATGTGCCTAGCAACAGTTTAAAACTGGACTGATTCCAAATAGCTTCCAAGATTTTAATCTCAAATTTGATTTGGAGTGTGTCTGCAATTCCCTGAAGGACTACTCCTATATTCATGCGTCATTGCGGATATTTTACGGAAATACACAGAATGTGAAATTGTAATTATGGGGGACGTCACATACGGGGCATGTTGTGTCGGTGATCAAGCAGCACGTGCATTTGGTAAGTTTCACATCGATCTGTTTTCGTTGTTTAAATATTTTAATATCTAATCGCTTCTAACTGTCATCAATAATTTTGTCAAGTAGATACCTAGTCGCTTAAGCGATGTCAAATATGTCATATTTCTGGAAGGACTTAAGATTCCAGTTATTAAACTGCTTCATTAATTCATTAATTAAAGTCGTAGTCAGGATACTTCTATATGCTTTCTTTTTTTTGAAATTGAAATATTAAGTATTTGTAGGATGTGATCTTATGGTGCATTATGGACACAGTTGTTTGATACCAATTCAAGAAACTCAAGGAATTGAAATGCTTTATATTTTTGTAAACATCGAAATGAATGTTGGCCATTTTATTGATGTATTAGAAGCTAATTTCGAAAAGCATAAAAAGCTTGCATTAGTTAGCACCATCCAATTCGTTCCATGCTTGCAGGTTAATATTATTATTATTATTATTATTACTGTAAAACGATTGAATTATTATTAGACGAGTCATTGCAAAAATTAGCACGATTTATTCTGCAACTATGTGTCAAATGTAACTGTGCGTTAGTGTCTCAAAACTGATTCACTGTGTTATTCGTCAAAAATTCTGATAATCATGAATATAACAGTAATAACTTTATAAATTTTGGAATTATTAAGATTTCATTACGGCTGACTTATGTTCAAAACCAGACCAATAAAATTTGAATGAGACGAAAAGAATTTCACCGATTAATTGTTTCAGAGTGTTAAAAAAGAATTAATTGGCAAAGGTTATAATATTTTGATACCACAAGTGAAACCTCTTAGTCCTGGTGAAATCCTTGGTTGTACATCTCCCAAATTAGAGGAGGATGTCGATGCAGTTATGTTAGTTATTGATTGCTTCACGGAGTTATAATAGTTTATCAAGCGCAAGTTAATTACAACAGAATTTTCGAAATGTCCTACCTTTTTATTGAAAAATGATGAGTAGTGATAATTTAGGGAATTGTGGGTTTACAAAAAATCTCACAATCAGATAGCATGTATTCTAATTTAAAGTTTTTTTTTTTTTCAGATACTTAGGGGATGGACGATTTCACTTGGAGTCAGTAATGATTCAAAATCCATCTGTTGTTGCTTATCAGTATGATCCATATTCGAAGTCAGTTATAATTTTAGAGGCTTAATTATCCATTACTGTGCATTACTGAGGTTATTGTAAAATTTGTCGAACCTAATGCTTTTATTTGAATCTAGGTTGAATGTATTTCTATTTCTTTATCTTTAAGTAGAATTGAGTAGCAATATTCCTTTTTTTTTTTTTTTTTTTCATAAATTGAAAATTTTCAGGAGGTTCACGCATGAGGAATATGATTTTGATTTGATGACGAGAAAACGGAAAGAATCTGTAGAAATAGCACAAAAATGTCACATGTTTGGTCTTATACAAGGTTCATTGGGTAGACAAGGAAACCCGAGAATTGTGGAGGTTAGTTTTGTGTACATATACGTTATATGAAGGATCAAAAATGGGAATTGAAGGAATTTATTTTTCATGTGGTATTTTTGTTTTTAGGATTTGGAGAAGAAACTACAAGAAGCTGGCAAAAAATTTGTTCGTGTCCTTCTTTCGGAAATAACGCCCGAAAAGTTGTCATCTTTCAATGATATTGATTGGTAAGTATAGTCGTGTTTTTCAATTAGAGTTATTTCAAACAGAGAGCAAATGAGTCTTGTCGCTATAAAAAAATATTTGGCTTGAAAGACCGTGAAAAATTAATACTAGTACTCGTCTGTCAATTGTAATAAAAAAAAAGGTACCAATTAGTTTTACTTCTGCTACCAGAAATTGCATGCTTTATTGTCCAAGTAACAGTTTATGAATCAATGAGCGCTGTTCAAAATAACATTTTTTGTTACGCAACGATGTTGCTAGCACTTAGTTTCTTCAAGAGAAGCCGACATATTCGACAGTAGTCATTAGTACTTTCAAGAAAACAAAAAGAACGTATTGGAAAAGTTTTTACAATTCTAATCCCATCTCATAACATTAGTAAGATGAGATTAGGGTGCTAAAATATAAATGTTGTTCTTGTATCGTTCTTTTTTTTTTCTTTTTATCACAAAAAATATGTGAGTTGTAAATAACTATGATAACTTTATCTGACATGAACCCTACTTGCAAATAACTTCTATTTCAGCTGGGTTCAAGTAGCTTGTCCTCGCTTATCAATTGATTGGGGTGCACAGTTCAAGAAACCACTTCTCACCCCTTATGAATTGGTGACTGCATTACAATATGTTTCATTTCGAACCGACTCATATCCAATGGATTATTATGCGAATGAGAGTCTCGGACCATGGACAAACAATCACAAAACACACCGAGAATGTCGTCCCAAACGAAACCATATTACGATTTCATTGCAATCTTAAATAAATGCTGTTTTTGTTGTGCATGTTAATAAATAATAGTTTGCTATATTCTGTTTGAATGGACAAGAAGTTATTTCTCCCTAGTATATCTCCTCTCTTCGATTCCACATTTCCAATTCATAGACAATTTAAATCAAATTAAACTAATCTTTTTTATCAGTTTACTGAAAAATGAGCAGTACAAAGTGAATACAAACAATGTTACACGACATAAAATAGGCCAAAGGTAAAGATGTTTGTCTCGGAAGTGTTAAACAGCTTTACCAAAGCATACAGGTATTAAATAATTCTCGAATAACCTGTACATAATGTTTAGTAATGAATGTTATGGTTTTCTTTTCTTTTTGAGAATGAAGAAAAGGATTCCAGTGCTTCAAATTATCAATAAACCCATAAATTTAATGATGTGTCATCATTTCGTCCAATTATTAATAAACCTCACATATTTTCAGTTTTTAACAGTTTAATTACCGATTAAAGTAAAGTAAAGAGATAGTCTTTTAGAAAGATTTGATGTTTGGACGTGTCAGAGGTATCACTGTGCTGCTGTTAATACGATACACTGAATATTTGATAATTTGAGCAATTTCTGGATATGTCTTCTGGATAAATTTTCCATAGTTTTACCATTGTTAGAATTGTATTAATTCGTTGGATATTTGTGTTTAGAAAGATTAGTATTAGCTACAATTGCAACCATTTGAAATAAATTTTCCATTTCCATTTCAGCACAGCTATAACTCGAATACTGGCTTCTTCCTTTCCTGATGACCTGTTGTTGTTGTTGTTGTTGCTATTGTTGTTGTGGTTGAACCTGCACCATAAAATACCGTTTTAGAATGAATGACATTTATTGATGATTGATTATTCTGACTCATCCTGAAAAGTAAAATTTCATTGTATTCAATTTTAAACTCATTTTTTACTTGAGTTAGTATAAATATGATAGTTACATTTGCACAACATTATAATAGCTTTGATAAATTTTGGTTAAATTCTTGTTGAAATGTACTGAGATGAAATTCTTAAAAACTAGTATTTCTTTTTATTACATTAAACATTTGAGAATTTACATAAAAATAAAAATATAAAAGGCTAATAAATTAGTAACCTTTCTGTCCGAAAGGCTGTCATTTCATCGTTTGATTTCTTTTGTGTCAATGTGTCCATTGCTGGTTCGGGTAAATAAATCGTAGAGAAGTTATTCGGAGTTTTCCGTAAACAACCAAACGTAACTAGAAGTGCGGTACGAAATTTCTTATTCAAGAAACAGTAAGTGATCGGATTAGCACATGAAGATATGTAACAAAGTACTGTTATTGCTGTGTTTACTTCTGAATTCCAAATATCGAAAGTCTGCAAATCATTGTTTATTCATTTAGCAAACTTAAATCTAAGCCAGATAAGATATTCAAGTTTGAAAAATTGGAGAAGCATTAGTGTTACATAGATTCCCACAGACATATGTTAATTTTTCACGTTCAAACAGTGCGAGCTACGTAAAGATTACAAACCGTAAAAAGAAAGACTGGAAATAATTGAAAATGAAGAAAAAAAAGGTGATGGATTTGAGAAACCGGTAGAGTAATTGAAATTAAAATTAAAAAATGGTCAAAATTGAAGTGATCCAATCAGAATTCACTATGCTAGGCGATAGGTAGAGGGAAAATAAATTAAATGTTGATTGGGGTAAGTTATTTATTTCTTAGGGAAAAGAGAAAGGTATCCAACCCTAAATGAATCTTGAGCTGTTAGCAATAGCCACCACATATAATTTGGTGTCCAACAGCAAAAAAATATGATAACAATAACGATGAGCATTTTGATAACACGTTGTTTGGCCAGAACTGACCGTTCACTGAAAAGCAATAATTAAGGAAATCATGAGAAATAATAATAATAATAATAATAATAATAATAATAATAATAATAATAATAATAATAATAATAATAATAATAATGAAAATGTTGTGAATTGAATTGATTTTCTCTTAATTTTTTCTCGTTTTTTTTGACTTCATTTTTTTTCAGAAAATTATGATAAACAATGAAAAGAATTATTTTCTTTTCGAATTATAATTGATTATTAATTCGTGCGCAAAAGGGAATATATACCAGAGAAATAAAAAATACTCAAATTTTCCTTTTCACTTAAGCTTATTCTTTATTTCATATTATTTTACCAAAAGTACTGGACATTTGCTTTACAATAGTTAATTTCTTGTATTAGATTGCATTATCTCTAACAGTACTGAAAGATACGATGGCGCAAATGTCACAGCTTTACCATATCATCTTTTAAGAGTTTTAGAATAGTATGAAATGAAAAAAAAGGTAATAATTACCTGTGAGTAGACCGAAGACTACTTTTATTGGTAAAATCCATCGATTTATTTTTTCGTCTAACAGTTAAGGATGTTGCATCAGAATTATTTCGTATTTGCTTCATTGAAGTATAAAAACAACTGAAGCAATTGAATTTCGTTGATGAATTGGAACTGAAATTTGTTAATAATTATAGTATAATTTATTTTTTTTTTTGATAAATCATCGTAGAAATTTAGTGAAATTATGAAGTGAATTATTTAAAACATTGTGTAATTTTTGTTATTAATGTATGATTGATTGTATAGTAAAAATTTTCATTCAAATAAATGAAATATCATTTTAAAGATTAAAATTGAGAAAGTTTCATTGAATTAAGTGAAATTATTTAATTTATTTTATATTTTAGGATGGTAATATTTTCTAATTAATTAATTAATTAATACTTTTAAATGTTAACTAACTTTATATTTTTTCTATTCTTGTTTTTCAACATTTTCAAGCTGCCACGCATGGTATTCTCATGTCGCTCATCGTTCCTTGTCGTAGCACCGAGATTTTCTAACAAAATGAACTCATTCAGGATTAGATGATAAAATCAAATAAATTTTTTTTTTTTTTTTGCCATATCTTTTCAAAATTCAGTTTTCAAAAAAAAAAAGTGGAAATTTCGAAATAATTAGAACAATCATTTATGTTTAATATTTGTATAAGAATAAACCATTATTCATCCTAAATGAATGTTTGTTGTTTGTTTATTTATTTATTTTTCAAAATCAATGTTTGTAAAGTTTATTATAAGCTAACAGATCAGAAATGAATTTACAAAGTAAAATTATTTCTGATTATTTAATAAAAGAAAAACTATGAGAAAGTAAAAATATTTAACTTTATTTCTCTCAATTTTTTTCTTATTAATTCAGAAATTTCATCATTCATTCAGCAATAATTATTTTTTTTAAAATAATTTACAATTACAATGCTTTTTTATCATTTTTAATAAACAAAATCGTCATTTTCTTCACCACTAATTCCATCGTCTAAATTCTCCAAAGTTTTTACAAATAATTTTAAACATATGATTCAATACAATTAAAAATTAATAAATTGAAATTCTAACTGTAAAAAAAAATTACTCAATTATTAGACCACTAAATAATTCATTCATATATGCTTCAAAAGTTATCAGTAACAATAATCAATAAATCAATAACAGATTTCTAGATTAAATAAATCAGAAATAAGCAATTATCATTTTTAAATTTAGCAATAAATTTGAGAAAAAAAAAACTTAATTAAACCAAGAAAAAAAAGAAAAATATATGGACCAGTTGTTGCAGTGGAAGTATGATCGATCTTCATGTCAACTCTAAGTGCATGTATCACTGATCCATATAAAACGATCATTATGCATAATGGAATAAGCAGTAATACTGAGGTCATATATATCTGTAAGAAATTAAATTATTTTGTAATAAATTTTAATCTTTTTTTTTTCTTTTTCAGCAGAATTTCTTTTTTTTGCTTTTCAGTAATTTCAATGAAAAAAAAAATTAGCATTGAATAATTTAATAGTAAAAAAGAGATGAAAATTTAAAAATGAAATAAAACTAATGTTAAAATATATTTATGTAGAGAGTTTAAGATAATAGTAAATTTAACAAATTTATAATGGAAATTAATTAATGAATTAATTACTTGATAACCGAAATGAAGGATAGGTCGATGCTTGGGTGCACATGTTAAGCCGTTCACATTATAAGTTTGTAATTCGAACATGAAAAGCATAAATAAATTAGCCAGGATAGAAATAAGCCAAACTAAAGTGATCATTGTATAGGCATGTGATCGAGTATGCCAAATTCTCGAATGTAAAGGCTTGCAGATGGCATAGTATCGTTCAAATGCTATTACAGCTAATGTATAAGCTGATGCTGTCACTACAACTGCTGAAAAGAGAACAAGTTTTTTTATAATTTTAAGTAATTAAAATTTTTAATAAAAATTATTTTTCATAAATAATATTAAAGCATAAATGATAATATATTTTAATTATTTTACAAATAATTAAAGTAGTTTTACTTAATTAACAATTAAAATAATCTGAAAATTAATTAGTAATTAAAGCAATTTGAAAATTATGCGAATTTTTTCAATTTCCTTACTAATTTATTTGTTGAAGTCTTTTTGTTGTTACTTTTTTTCCTTTTAAAGGTGGAAATGAATTTTTTCAAAAAAAAAATAAAAAAATAAAAATGCATTTCGATTTTCTCAAAATGATGACAAGCAAAAGAAAAAGTAATTTTGCCAATAATTTGTTGAATTTAGAAACTATACAATTTATGTTGTTATTGTGTACGTTCTTATTGTTATTGTCATGGCAAATGAAAAATTTAGTTTACATTTCATTTCTCTTTCAATGAAGAACAAAGATTTATTGTTGGCCCAAAAAGTCTTTGTCAAACTGAACATACATACCAATTTTTTAGTGTATCAAATTGTTTCTACTTCTCAGATTCTAATTAATCACGAAGGATTGTAGGTGTGGACAAAGCCGCCATTGGTTTTTAAATTTTTCATTCAAAAATCATTCTTCATTTAAATTAAAAAAAGGAAATTGAGCAGGAATAATTAAAAATTTCTAGAGAAAATGAACCAAACTGACAATTTATACAAAAAAATGACATATAATTTTGTACTTTGATAGATTTTATGAAAGAAATATCATAATAAGAAATTAAAATTACGTTTCTAAAAATTAAACCCATCGATAGGTATTAATTAATTACATATAAAACTTAAATAATTATTCATATCTGAAAGATTTCAAATCATTTTAAAAGAAAACAAAACAAACAGAATTTTGGGAGAGAAATTAGCTGAAGTAGAATTGTGATAGAATTTATTGTTTGTAAAAATTAAAAAAGTAAGAAAGAAATACAAAAAGTATATAATAATGAAAATAAACAGAAAAAAAAAAGTGAAACGTACGTTGTAAGTATGCAAATAACTTGCAAAGGAGATCGCCAAATATCCAACAATAAATAACGGAACTAATAAGAGTTGGTGGCATGCAAATTACTGATAACATCAAATCAGATATTGCCAAATTTAACAAATAAATATTTGTTACTGATCGCATTGAATGTTGCTAAAAATTACTCAAATTATATTCTTTTTTATTTGAAATGGATGGAATAAATAAATTGTAATAGTTATTGAACACAGTAAAAAAAAAGAAAAAAGTGCCAAGAAATATCGCTTATCAATTAAGGCATAATATTTTCCTCAAAAATTATTGATAATTAAAAATTGAAATTAAAAGCAAACCTGCAAAATGACAGCAACAACAACTGCATTACCAATAACAGAGAGGCAAAAAATAATACAAAATGAAATAATTGTGATATAATTTTCAAATGTAGGCCTAAATCGGCAATCATCTTGCACTATAACTTCCATTTCATCAGAAAGCATCACCGATGATAGCGATGATGTTGCTGATGTTAATGATGATGGTGATGATGATAATGATGATGATGATTGTAAGAACGATGATGATGATGGTAATGATGATGATGCTATTGATGCTGCTGCTTTTGCTACTGCTACTGCTATTGTTGCTGCTGATGATGATAATGGTGCTGATAGTGATGATAATGATGATGGTGATGGTGATGATGGTGATGATGATGGTGATGATAACAATAGAAATGTTGAGAATGACGTTGATGACTGTGTTGATAGTATCGGTAATGTAGCTTTTGATAGTGATGATGACAGCGTTGATGTGCTGTTTAGGCTAAAATAAAAGAAAGAGAAAAATTTTCATTTCTTTAATTTTTCTTAGCTGAGGGACCATTTTTAGGTCCCATAGCAAAGAAAAATATCATTTCATGCTAGATTAAATAGGTTATTTTCGAGAAATAACTAACAGTGTATTATTGTCTCATTTCAGTCATTCCATTTCATTTTATGAAATAATCTTATTTCCTCAATAATTATCAAATTTTTGATACTGATGAAATTATAAAATAGTATTTTTGCAAGAAAAAAAAAATATTTCATCTACACTACTAAATAATTCATTTGTCAATAGCATATCATTGATTTGAAATTCAAGTAAACATGTTGATTCTTGATAATTATGATAATCAAAAAGGAAAAAAAGTTTGAAATGCTAACACCTTAAAATTATTCATTATTAACTGATAGGAATGTAAAAATATAAAAAGTTCCATTTATGCTTACGTAATTAATTAATTAATTAATATGTGAAGTATCAATGGTTTAATTTATAGAATTTATCAAATCAGTAAACCAAATGTTTTTTTTCTTTGCATAAACAGTCAATTTAGATTTATTTCTTCTGGAATTTTCCCATTAATCCTTCTCAAAACAAAAAACAAAATTTTTTTCTTTAATTTGAATAAAGATTGGTTTTCATTCAATCACTGATAGCTATGCCCACTTTTACAGTTTTTAGTGGGTAATTGAAATTTGAAAAGTGGAAACAATTAAGGCTAAGAAAGTTAGTTCATTCATTGATTATCAACCATAGCTATGCTAAACAGCGATATTCAATTTAACAAAGACTTTTTGAACCGACAATTAAATCTTTGTTGAGAAATTTAAATTGAAGAAAAATGAAATATGAGAGAGCTAAAACAGTAGAATAAACTTTCTATTCTCTTTTCAAATCATAAATACTTGAGATGAACTTCTAATAATCTCCAACATTTTTAAAAAAATCTATGATTACATTCATTGAAATTGTAATTCTAATTAATTAAAAATGAAAATATTAACAAATAGATAGTCACAAATATCTTTTCATAAATTATTCAAAAAATATTGCACTCTTAGCTGAATAAATTAAAATACTTTTGAATTATGATGAAAATTTAAAACTTTAAGCTTTACTCATTATTTCCTTTTTTTTTTCGCGGTGTAATTAGAATTTGTTATTGAAATATATCTAATATAAAACTTAGCTATAAATGATAAAAGTAAACTTTAAACAATTTGTAAAACATTTACTCATTGCATTTGAAATTTTTTTTTTTTTTTTTGAAAGAATAAATTCGTTTGATTATTTTCGATTGTTTGATTAAATTGTGATTAATGAATTTAATTGATAATTGCATATCTTTTACACACATACTGCAAAATTTGTGAAATTTCAATAAATTGTTTAATAATTATATTACATACTTTAGCATTAATTTATTGATGAAGAAAAGGCGCAAAAATTAATAGCGCTTAAATTGAGCGCTATTAATTCATAAAGAGTAAAATGAATGGAAAGATTTGATTATAAAATAGAAATATTTGTAGGAGATAAAGTGTAAGAAATTAAAAGAAATATAAAGTAAAGATGAGATAAGAGTTAAAGATGAGATAAAATGTGGATAATAACAATTAGCTGACAATTCCTGATGGATGATAATAAGCATTGAGAGAAAAGCATTAGCACAATTAGTAAATAATTATAGCTTGTTGTATGCTTATAAAAGCACATAGACAAAATGATATTTATGATTGAATATTAGATAAAAATTTTTGGATAAATTTTGACAAATTTTTTAATTTTTTTTTTTTTTTTTGTTTTTTTTTTTTTCTTTTTCAATATCAAACAAATTTTAGAGAGAAAATTGTTAAATTTATTATTTTGAATTATCAAAAATTGTTACAATTGATCTATTTCATTTGTTAGTAAATTACTTGGTTGTTTGCTCAGCTTTTTAGTAATGTAAATTTGAAAAATGAAATGAATAATTGAAATCTTATTAATAGTTTTGAACAATATTAATATGATTATAAAATGTTAGCAAATGAAAAATTAAGATTGATAAAAGTTTATGGGAAAAGATGAAATGAAAAATGTACTGTGTTAATTAAGTATGAATGAGAGAAGAAAAAAAAAAAAAAACGAATTTAGATTTTGTTACTTAAATTTTATTAATCACTAGAATGTATAAATTGTTGAGTTTTTAAAAAAAAAAAAAAAAAAAAGGGAAATTTAGCAAAAAAAAAAAAGAATTTTTTTTTTTTTTTTTTTTAAATTCAAAACAATTTAACTAAAAGCAAAAAAAGCAATATATCTCATGTTTTCTGTTTAGTTATACGAAAAATTGATGAATGAAATGAAATTGTTTAATAGCTTAAAAAAAAAAAAAAAACTTTCTAAGCCAATTTTTCACCGGAAATGCAAAAACATCATGATAGAATCCGGAATCTATTTCTATACTGCCGGATGATGATGGGTACCATTTTCTTCTTTTATTCTTTTTTTATTGCAAAATTTCTTATTGAAATTGAAATGAAAGAATTGAAAATTAAACTTACATAATGGTTGAAAATGCTGTAGTAAGCTGTTCGATAGTGTCACCAGTATTGTCATCATCACTAACATATGCATTAACTGACCATATAATTGAACTATTCATTCAAAAAAAAAAAGAAGAATCTTTTTTTTTTTTTTTTTTGAAATTGTTTTCTTCAAAATGATTTTCGTTTTAAATTTGTTGCAATTTTGGCGCAATATTTATAATAACCTGAAAGTATGTAACTTTTTTTTTTTTGATTTATTTATTTTTTTTTTCTTTCTTTCTTTCTTCTTTTGTTAATAAAAGAAGAATTTTATTTTATTTTTTTTTTTTCATTCTTTTTTATTTTTTCCTTTTTTTTCCTAAAAGAAAAAATTACATCAATATTTGTTGAATTGAAAATTTTTTATTTTCTTTTTGCATTTTCTTGCATTCAACTTAGTATCATCCAAAAGTAATAGCAATTTTGACAAACAGTAAAATTGATAATATGAATGAATTTAAAATAAAGTAAAGCAATAAAATTTTCTTTTTACATTAAAATATATATTAATTTAGAAAGTAGAAACTAATTTAATAAAATATATTAATTTAGGGCAATTTTTAGTAACAATTTTGCTAAATGATTAAAACTGTTCATTTTTATTTTTTTTTTTTTCAAATTTAATTTTCATTAAAAATTTTCTCGTTTATTACAAAAAAAAAGGAGAGAGAGAGAGAGAGAGAGAGGAGAAAGAAAAAAAGAATGAATAGTAGTTATTTGTAATTTTGATAAAACATAAAAAATGTCATCAAGAATTAATTGTGTACGAATGTGATGACATCTTTCACATACACATTAATGAATGTCAGACAAAATTTAACTAATCTTTAATTAAACTAATAAAGAGGAATGATAAGATAAAAGAAGCAAAACAAAAGAAAAGAAAAGAAAAGAAAACAAAAAGAAAAGAGAAGGAAAAATAAGACTTAAATTTTAATGCAAATGCAAAAGTCTGGTATCATTAGTGAAATGCAATGATGAAAATAAATTGACATAAATAAATGAAATTGTCAACTACAACTCATATTATCCAAATTTCTTCTCACTAATTTCTTTCCTATTTCTTTTCAAATGTTTGAAAATTATATTATTTATAGCAAAAAATATTGATTAAAAAGATATTATTTGAAATACTTTTTTTTTTTTGTAAGTTTAATAACTATTAAATAAAATGAAAGATAAAAAAGAAAATTAATTTTTTTTTTGTTTAAACAATAATTATTTATTATTATTATTATTATTATTATTATTATTATTATTATTATTATTATTATCTTGCTCATCCACTTATCAGTCATATTATTATTATTACTATTATTATTAGTTAGTTAATTAAAATGCAAAAATTTATAATTTTTAAATTGAAGGTATATGAAAATTAAAAAAAAAAACAACTGATTACTTTATTACTTTAAGTATTTACAAGTTTTCAATATTATCGTTTAAAATTTTAATTTATCTAATAGAACAACAATCTTCAATATTAGGAATTTAAAAAAAAAAAAAAAATTAGTGCTCGTTCAGTTATTTATTAGTTTAACTTTAATTTAGATTAAGCAATTTTGCTCAACTTTATCACTCCTTTACCTGTTATGAAGTACCTGTTTTTAGCTATTTATTAATGTATAAAAGTAAATAAATAAAAATTTCAAAACAAAACATTTGTACAAAATTGGCTATTTTTATAAATACGAAATTAAATAAAATTTTATTCCGAAATGATAATTTAAAATTTTCATTTTAAACATTTTGAAAAATTGAAATGAATTTATTAAACACAATAAGAATTTTCAAATAGGAAATAAAAAATAATTTAGCTTACTTCAATGTTAGCATTTATATAATTCCATAATTATAATTATAAATGACATCAGAGACATTTAATGACACTTCCGATATGTATTATTGAAGTTTATTGGATAAATGAATAAATTAAACTTTTCTAACCAATAATAATTCATTATTTAGTACATATTCAAACAAAAAAAAAACCTTTTAATTATGCTAATTTTATATAAATCGCAGTAATTTATATAAATTAATTTGCACAAAAATTTTTTATTTACTTTTAATTATTATATTAATTTTCA